CCTTCCTCCCTCAAAGATCGTTTTGATAATTATCTAGAAAATTCATTTTCCGTGTTTACACTGAGTAAAATACAAGAAGCAAAACTATCTCCCATAGTTGCACGGCACACCGCCGTGCGTCTCGCAGATAAGAGGAATAATATCAAAACAAACACGTTGAAGCGCGATAAGATCTGGCATTAAGAATCGCATTACGAGGCGATGGAAAATTCACATGACACCAGATAACTGGTGCAGACAACACTTGAGATGAATTTTTATCGATTGACTTTTCATCGCGAAAAATTCTCGAGTCTTTAGATAACGTGAAAGTTGTTTTCTTTCTTTTCTTTTTCTTTTTTTTTTTTTTTTTTTCTTATCTACGCGACGCGACATCAAAGAAAAGTACCTCGTAAAAGTTGAATATTTTCTAAGTGCGCGGTAGTGTTTAATGTGCCGAGATTTGTTGCACGCGATATCGGGATAAAACGTTAAGTTTTTACGTGAAGCACGTGTAAGTGGGATCGATTTTCATCCGCGCGCACATTCAATTTTTAATGATTGATCGATGAATTGGGGATTTAGCGTACGGTCTTTCCGAGAGATTTCCATCACCCGGATTACGTGGGAGGGTGATCGATACAGAGGCATGATTAAAGCCGGTAAACTCGCGAAAGGGAAGCGTTTTATTTCCGAGCAGAAATTGCGCGATATTGCTCCTGCCGGAGGAAACAGAACTCGGTGAAGTACAAGTTATTAAACGATCTCAACGATGTTACTCCACGATGACCCTACAACTCATAAAGCGGATTTACTTCGTCGCGCTTTCTTCGTTTCCAGCCGCGTAAGTTTATTTCCGGTGTTATCAGCCGAGATAATGTCCCGCCAGCAACAATACGAACAAAATCGCGATCACAAAAAAAAAAGACGCAGATAGCGTCTCGTGTTTCGCCTCGCGCTTGTATAAAACAACGTTGTTTGTTAGCCAAAAGAAATTCTAACGGAGAGATTCAATTGGCGAGAAATTAAAATTAAATTAAATGACTTTTTTTTTTTAGAAAAAAAAACCTCAGCGTTCAAGTGGAACAAATTTTTTTTCAAACCGTAATAGTAAAGCTGATGAAAGCGTATCAAACAGTTGGAAGGGTCAGCCCGTTTTTATCTCCTGAAGGGATGGGAAAATCGAAGTCATAAACTCCGGCTTCGTAAAATCAAAATCCGTTCGTCAAGTTAATATCGGTCATAAATGCGTGCGGCAAAATACACTTTGCGAAATTTGTCGTTTCTTATGACCCCGCTTTAGAACCTTCGCGCTGCCATTGCGCCAGCTTCTATACGACCGTAAATCCGGCCCTATCTACAAGTAGTGCTGTTCTTCCGCTCATTTCTTAACCGGAGACTTTCTCTTCCGAGAAACACCAAGAGATCGTAAAGTCCAATGCGTTATCAGGCATTGCGATATTCCTTCTTTTTTTTTTTTTTTTACGATCGGAATCGTAAAGCAGGGTAAGCTGTACGTGCGACTGCGCGTAGCTTTGTAGCTTTACTCGATACTCCGCGCAAAGTCGTATCTTAAAGCCGTATTTACAAGCCGCTCTCTTTCTCGCGCTCACGATCGGTCTTATTAAATTCTCAATCTCGCCGCTTTAATCCAGATTCTCTTTCTCTCTCTTTCTCTCTCTCTCTCTCTCTCTCTCTCTCGAATCTCCGGTTAGTGCAGCGGCAAATAAGAAAAGCAGCGCCCGCAACCACTATTGCTGCCGCCGCCGCCGTCGTCGCCGCCGGCGGTGGCATCTTTGCTCGCTCCCACAGCTCAACCCCTTCGCGATCTTAGAGAGCTGACTGTTGAAGCTCACGGTACAAGTGCACTCCGCCCTCGCCTGGTGCGCCGACCGCGGCGCTCACCTTTTTATTATTCCACGGCGTGTGAGACGAAGCTCGCGTGGGGGCGTGTCGCGCCATTTGCATTCTCATTACCATCGGCGGGTTCTTATTTAAATAGGTGAACAACTGCAAAGCACCCCGGTGGTCGGAGAGCTCGTTAGGCGTCCCCTAACCCCCCGTGAGAGAAAAGCAGGGAAACAGAAGGAGTGGAAGGAATCGTGTGCACAGGTACATCCATCGTTGCAGCTACGCTTTTCTAACGCCTTCGTTCGACTCCATCACCCTTTCTACTTTTCTCTCTCTCTCTCTGGCCGCCACTCTCGACTCTCCCATTCCCTCGTCAAGACGTAGCGAGGAGAGCCCGGATGACTGCAATTTCGCGTGAGGACGCGAATCCTTGTGCCAACCTCGCGCGCGGATGCCGCGAGGCGAGGGCGGCAGGGAATCTTTTAAATTCAACGCGGTACGCTTCATTAGTGGCTGCGGTTTGCTCGGCGGCCGCAACGATTTAATCCGAGCTTGCGCGCGGCGTCAAGCTCGAGGAAATTCAATTTTGCTGTGGCGGTAATGGACCAGAACGTCCCAGCTCGACAGTTAGGCCGCCTCTCGGCGAGAGGCATCGCAGAAAGCGCCAATCGACTCGTTTTGTATCTCGTCGAGCGGAATCCGCTCGAACGTAACGCGGATTCGAAGTGACGGCAATGGCTACGGCGACGACGACGACGACGACGACGACGACGACGCAAACGCTCCGCTTTTCAACGTTCTTGGTTCTTTTGGCGCGCATCGATCGAAAGCGGTGCAACGTGGCTAATCGCACGTGGAAAAGCGTCGCGAGCGAAATCAACAGAAAGCCCGACCGTGCGTGCGAACGACGCGACGTGCGTGCTTAAAAACTTCCGACGAAAAAACACTTTGATACGAGCGTATGCAAAGAGTCCGTCGTCAATCCAGCGACTTTTGCGCAAACTTTTATATAGCAGAGAAAATTTATAATTAAACGAATACTAGACGCGCGTTTTTTTGTCGTGTCAATTACGGAGATTTTTAATAAGCTTAAAAACAAGTGAAATTTGATTTTTCACAAACGCGTATTACGTCAAGAGAGACGGAAATATTTGTAAAAGTTACGTCTGATGTGTGTGTGTGTGTGTGTGTGTATGATGGAAAAAAAGTGACATATTATTGGTTTTTTTTATAATAGATTCTACAATCTGTCGAATGCCGCGCCATTCGACGTAACGCTATGCAAATATTGCGCCAAGTCCCTCGAGGGTAAAACGTCGGGTATACGAAAGATTTCTCAGTTCGGAAACAAGAGCAACGAGAGAGAGAAGCTTCTCGGAGTTACAGCGCAAAACTTTCACGCTTGCAAACGACAAAGTTCGGTCTTATGATTCGATCCACTATATTACAAAGATATGCGTGCCAAATTTATAGCACGTAAGTCTCACCTAGTTTCGAACTATAATTATTATTTTGCTATGCACTTTTGTCATCTTTCGCGCGGTAGTTTCTAGTAAATATTTTTCGATAAATTTCCACGTCGGCGAATCGTAATATTTTATTGCTTTTCAACGACTAGAAAATCCGAGAGACGCGCGGCTTTATTTTACCTCTCCATGTAATCTCAGCTGTGCAATTAACCTGTCACCTAATTAGGATAAAATTTAATTAACTACCTTAATTTCAGTGGAAATAACGAATCGCACACCTTCACGGTGAAAACCTGGTAAATTAATTAATTACGATGCATCTCTCTTTCTCTCTCTCTCACGCGCGCGCGCGCCCGCGAGCGCGTACAACGAAAACTGTCTCTAACGATCGGTAGAACGGTGAGCTTTACGACGGATTCTAAGCAGAAGCGACGATAAGTGCGGGCGGATTAAAAAAAAATAAAATCCTCCTCGTATGTACGAAGTGCACAGGCATATTGATTTTTCTACTCCGGTGCAGCCAATGACCTAGCGTTACCTCGCGCTTGCACAAGCAAGCACGACCCTAACAAAGTTATCCGAAGAATGACGTGCCGTACACACGGCGCGGCACGAACAGGAAATCGACACCCATTTACCACTTCGTATTCTCGATCATGTCCCCACACGTGACTCGCTCTTTCCTCTTCGCGTCTCACGCCACAAGCATCTTAAGACACCATCTGGCAACCGACCAATCCGGTCATATTTTTCCGATCGTAACGGGTCACGCGGGTATGTGACAGCATCCCCGAGCCGCGGAGATTTACTGCGGGCATTAAATTACGACCGTCGCGGCTGATCTTCGGGATCAGTATCTTTTTTGAACGAGAGACATGGGGGATGCGAAAATCCCGCGACCAACGATGACGTTGTTGACTTTGCTGTTTTTTTTTTTTTTTTTTTCATATGGTTTGTTTTTTTCCTTTAAAGGTGTTACCCGTCGGCTTTTCGGTATCCCGCGGAGTCCGAATTTTCCTCTTGTTGAAAATTGAGGTCCATGAAGTGTACATATGTACGTGTACATACCTACGTTTCGTGGTTCGTTGCGAACAAAATGACCGTATTTTTCTGTAGACAAAGAATGTTGGTATAAGTTACGATATGTTTGCAATTTTTCGAGAGAACACACGGGAATAGAACTTACATCCGTTTCCTAATCTACAATTTCTTAGAAAACATACTGAAATGAAAAATGTTACAATTTTTTGAAAATAATCGAAACACGTTCTGTTCTCCATTCTGTTATATCTTTGATAAGAAGCGATTACTGAAGTATTCGAATATGACAAGCGCAGAAGTAATTTCTAAAATTTTTAATTGTATTTTTGCGCCAATTGCATTCTCTTGATAGTCGCTCTTTTTTTATACAATTGTCGGAATAACTATTAAAAGTTTTACGATATATCAAATCAAATTTTAGACAATTATTAGAAAGAAAATATCTACATTCTGACATACGATAAAAAACAAAATTAGACGCTGTAAAAACTGTCTATTTCTGTACAGATATGATCAGACGTTCAAATATTAAATAATGAAAGAACGAATTCACAAACCGTAGATTCAAACTGAGAGAGAGTAACAAGTTTTGTCGCGAGTTCTGTCGCACGTCTATAACGAAATTTTATCCCGGCGATGTGTCACATTGTGTGTTCGCAGAGAGAAAACCACCCCCTTTTGCGGCGGTGAGAACCGAGTGTCGGCGCGAGAAACGATGAACGAATCGGAACGAGACGGGAACGCAGCGGCGCGATAATAATAATATGTGGACAACGCGGCCGCGGACCAGACGAAAGTGGCGACAATCGTCGACCCCGTTGTGCGGCGAGCAACGTGACAATCGGCGGAATCGCCGTCGGTACGGCTTCCGCATCATCTGCTCGGTGATACTGGCGGCCTGCATGGCGACGCAGGGTGCGAGGGGCGCCAAATGTCCGCCACCGGACACAATACCCGGCTGTCCGTGTTACAACTTCGAGAACGGCGGTCTGTTCCTGGAGTGCGCAGGTGCCACCGAGGAGTCCCTCAGGAACGCTTTGTCCGGCGTGATACATGCCGCCGGCGGAGAAGGTAACCGTCCGTGATACAAGGCGCAAAAAGCACGGGATCACTCGAGAACACGTATTCCCCGTCGCATACATAAGTAGAAACAGCCGTCGGTGAAACGGCTGAGAGATAACATCGTGGCGTGTAGCAAAGAACAGCTGTGACTCCGAGAACAAACGAGAGAAAAAAATCGAGAGAGTACTTCAGTATCTATGCAAATAATCAACGAGCTATAATCTTTTTAAAGTAGCAGAAATACAAGAGCAAGCTCGTCAAGCGCGGATAAGATCAAGCAAAAAATTATAATGCAAACGAAGAGATTATGCGTAGAGCATGTAAGACTACTTGCGATCATCATCAGTCTTCATGAATAAAATGACAAAGTATATAATAACGTCTCTGAAAAATATAGAAAGAAAAGAACAAATATACGTTTACTCAAGTGTGTTGTATTGATCTCTCGCTAAATGTCAGCGCTTTTTCCAGTCTGTGAGAGTTTAATTTAAGACAATTTATTGAATGGTGAATTTAAATTATATTAACACAGTCAGAAATATATGTACGTAAGAAATTTTGATCTTTAAATAAAAATTAATTACGTTAATTTCGAAGACATTATTATTTTGTCATTTTGTTCATGTAAATTGATGATCAAAAAATAAGATAATACTTGAAACGTTTAGACATATTCAATAATTTATTCTCAATCCACATACGACAATGGTTTTACATGCTCTACGTGATCTTCTTGTTTGTATCTTTTTAGTTTTCTTTAGAAAAATATTTTAATTGGTCTGACACATATAAAAAGAGAACGCTTAATATTTGTTTATTTTCGCAAATGTTTCACATATTTTTTCGTAATAAAACACAATATTCAGTTTTCACGTTATTCAAATTGTATTATAGCGTGTAACGGTTTTTTATTTTTTGATAAACAAAATATTTTATTAATAGGCATTTATTGATTATACAGTAAATTAGTTTATCGATGATATTTGTCAATATTTTCTCTCTCGACGAAACCGGTTCCGCCCGCATACAAATACACGACACAAAGAAACAAACACGAAATTGTAGGTTTTGATCGCGTGTTTGTACGCGTATAAAACCCACAAAGCACATCGATAGCTTTAAGCGGAATCTGCGTGATTGTTTCAGAGGCGCTCGTCCAATCACTGAGCGTGTACGAACTGGATCGAAAAGTGGAGGAACTTCGATCCGCCGCTTTCCCGGCGGGCTCGCAAATTAGGCATCTGCAAATATCGCATTCCGCGATTCGCGAAATAAGCGAAGATGCTTTTGCGCGGTTAAACAAAAGCCTGGAATCTCTGGCGCTCGTATCCGGCCGACTACTTCACGTACCTCAAAAGGCAATGGCCAACCTGCGCCTACTCAAAGCGCTCGACCTGGAGTCCAACCTCGTTTACGATTTACCGAGCTATAGTTTCTACGGTCTCTCGTTAATTAAACTGAACCTGAAGGGTAATCAAATCACGAAAATTTCCGAGTACGCCTTTGCCGGGCTCGAGGGCACTTTAAAGGATTTGGATCTGGCCGAGAACAAGATCCGGGTATTCCCCATGACGTCCTTGAGAAGATTAGAGCATCTCACATCGCTGAGGCTCGCCTGGAACGAGGTATCTCAACTCCCGGAGGACGGCTATTCCAGGCTGGACGCCTTAAACTTTCTCGATCTAAGTAGCAACAATTTCAAGGACATTCCGCTCAATTGCTTTCGCTGCTGTCCGTCCCTAAAGACCCTCTCTCTTTATCACAACGCGGTCGAGATGGTCGACAAGGATGCCTTTATATCGCTGATCGATCTCGAATCGATAGACCTCAGCCACAACAAGATCGTTTTTCTTGATGTGGCCACCTTTCGTGCCAATCAAAAGCTCAGGTCGATCGATCTCAGCCACAATCATATACACTATATTCGGGGCGTGTTTTCCCGGCTGCCCGAGCTGAAGGAGCTCTTTCTGGCGGAAAATAACATTCTCGAGATACCGGCGGAGACGTTCGCCGGCAGCACGAGTCTCTCGGTCGTGTATCTACAACAGAACGCCATCAGAAGAATTGACGCGCGCGGTCTCGCGACGCTCGGTCAATTAGCGCAGCTATATCTAAGCGGAAATTATATCGAGAAAGTGCCGCGCGACTTTCTCGAGCACTGCGAGAATTTATTGACGCTCTCTCTGGATGGCAATAACATACGCGAACTCGAAGTCGGCACGTTTGCAAAGGTGAAACAGCTGCGTGAGCTTCGGCTGCAGGACAATCAGATCACCGAGGTGAAACGCGGCGTGTTCGCGCCGTTGCCGTCGCTGTTGGAGCTGCATTTGCAAAACAACGCCATTACGGACATGGAAACCGGCGCGCTGCGATCTCTGCACAGTCTGCAGCATGTGAATCTGCAGGGTAATCTTCTCGCTGTGCTCGGCGACGTGTTTCAAGTGTCGAATGACGTCGGACAGAACGAAAACAGCGGTAGCTCTCTGATCTCCATTCAGCTGGACAACAATGGCCTGGGCGTCTTGCACAATGACTCATTAAGAGGCCAAGCCTCGGTCAGAATCATGTGGCTCGGACACAATAGACTGACGCGTCTTCAAGCTCCATTGTTCCGGGACCTGTTGCTGGTCGAACGCTTGTATCTCACAAATAATTCCATTTCGCGAATAGAGGACGCCGCTTTTAAACCCATGCAGGCACTTAAGTTCCTCGAGCTTAGCATGAATCGGCTGAGTCACGTGACCGTGAAGACTTTCTCGGAGCTGCACGAACTCGAGGAACTTTATCTGCAGGATAACGGTTTGCGCCACTTGGAGCCCTACGCTCTAACGGCGCTCAAAAGACTTCGCGTTCTCGACCTGGCTAACAATCACTTGAACGTGCTGCACGACAAGATTTTCCAAGAGGGATTACCAATTAGAACGCTCAACCTAAAGAATTGCACCGTACGAGTGATCGAGAACGGTGCGTTTCGCGGACTGAACAATCTTTACGAACTCAATCTCGAGCACAATCATTTCACTGCCATTGCGTTGGATCGTCTGGATATACCGGGATTGCGAGTTCTGAGAATATCCTACAATAACTTCAGTCAGATTAACGCAAACTCTCTAGACGGCTTGCCGTCTCTTCAACACCTGGCGATGGATTCGTCGCAAATCCATCAAATGCCGGCCGAGATATTCTCAAAGAACAAGAATCTCGGGAAGCTGTTGCTCAGCGGCAATTCGCTCGTTTCGCTGCCGGCGACGTTGTTTCTAGGTCTGGACGCGCTCAAGGAGGTTAAGCTCGACGGCAACAGGTTCCAGGAAATCCCGTATGACGTGTTCGCGAACGCCAGCACGGTAGAGTTTCTCTCTCTGGCCAACAACGAGCTGCCTAAAGTAGATATGTCGCGGTTAAGCGGATTAACTAGTCTGCGCGAACTCGATCTACGCGGCAACCACATCAAGTCCCTAAACGGCTTCGCCGTCGTGAACTTTTCCCGTCTGATATCCGTGGATCTGAGCCACAATCACTTAACGGCGCTGCCAGCGAACTTCTTCGCTCGGTCGAATATGCTACGGAAGATCGAGCTGGCAGCCAACAAGTTCCGACAAATACCGGCTATGGCGCTCGCCGGTCAAAATATACCCGGTCTAACGTGGCTGAACATCACGGCTAATCCTCTCGTGAGGATACACGAGATCATCTCGGAAGCCAAGTATCCGGCTCTGCAGGAAATTCACATCTCCTGGACGAACTTGTCGATAGTCACCAGTCAGGATTTCGAGGCGTTTCCCGCGTTGATGCATCTTTTTATAAGCAACAACAGGATAGCGAGGGTGTCGCCCAGTGCGTTTCGAAGTCTTCCGAATCTGTTGACGTTGGATCTCAGCGTGAACGAGCTGGAGCTGTTGCCGCAAGAGAGACTGAAAGGCTTGGTGCACCTCAGGCTGCTAAATCTCACGCACAACCGTTTGAAAGAGCTCGAGGACTTCCCGCCTGACCTGAAGGCTTTGCAAGTGCTCGATCTTTCGTACAATCAGATAAGCGGAGTGGGAAAGAGCATGTTTCAGCATCTGGAGAATCTGGCCGAGCTGCATCTCTACGGGAACGGGATATCGTCGATCTCGCCGGACGCGTTCAAGCCACTGAAAAAGCTCAGGATTTTAGATCTAAGTAGAAACTCCTTAGCGAACTTGCCACTGAATGCCTTTCGACCTCTCGAAACGCAAATACGGAGCTTACGCGCCGAGGGTGAGTAACGATTTATTGACGATTCCTCGGATTTTATTGCGTTACGTTGCAAAATTCATCTCACAAATATTTATTACGCTTTTTTTTTCTGTTGCAATCAGTTTGCTAAATCAAACTGTCAAATAATTGATTTGTTTTCTCGCACTCGAAAAATTATTTCTATTTTCTAAAATGCCACAAATATCTCATGTAAAAAATATTCACACATCTTGGAACTTACGTTGAGTCGCGTATTGTAAGATATTGTAGCACACTGAGAGAACGTATTCTTACGTTCTTTACGACATTGCTCTCTCGTATATGTAACGGCACACATGCCGCCACTCGCACGGATCATGTTGCGCCATGCTCGACAATAGCAATCTCAGCCGGCGAGATGATAGGTCGCATGCAAGACTCACCCTTACGCCAAAGTGTCTTCACATGCGAGCGAATTCGAGTCAGTCGAAAATAACCCCTCGGGATAGTTGTACTCGGAAACTCCTCGACATTGAATACGAACGATATGAACACACAGAACACACAATTCTCTGCATGTTGCAAAACGTCACGGGGCTATTTCATGACGGTAGTACCGCCGGTAATTCACGTTGCAATAAACGCGGTATATTTACGGCGGCATCCGAATGCTACGCGATCTTTCGTAAGTCTTTCGTGACACGGGGCGGTAAAAAAGTTTTTCCCCTCAGTGGGACGAACGACGACGTGATCTATAGACATCGAGACACTCGAGACCGCGCCGCGAGCACCGCACACTCTCAAGTAAGATAATTGCGGGCATTGAATTCGCGCAGAAAATCCACTTCACTGCGACTGCGAGTCTCAGGAGCTCTGGGAGTGGCTGCGCGATCATCAGAAACTGGTCGGCGGCGGGATGAGTCGTAATCGCGGGGGCGGACTGAGGCTCAACGACATGGACAGCGGGCTGTTGAGATGCGAACAACCGCCGGAATTGCGGGGACTGGTGTTCCTGGATCTGGACCCGCACGCCTTCTGCACCGCGCCCTTGATTCTGAAACTGGCGATTCAGGACATTCAGCCGTTCTCCGTTCTGGTATCGTGGCAGAGCAGAAATCACTCCGGTCTGCGCGGCTACCAGGTTGCCTATCATGTCATCGATAACGTCGACCAGGTAATAAAGAGAGCAGACGCTCACTTTGATTGTACATCGCGTGCGCAACAATACCGCGTTGCTAAAAAGCAAAACGCGAGATATATAAATGACGGTGGGTGGAGCGGGCGCTATGTGAAGTGTAAACGGAGTTTGATTCAATCGATAGTAAAAACCGAGTTTTCTTCCTCGATGAAGCTCTAACTCATCCTTTGCAAAAACTTGTCGTCACATCCGACACTGTTCTCGCGCTGATCGATCGACGCGAAAAAGCCGGGCGTAGTTTCTAGCCGGATTAAAGTATTTTTGCCGAAAGCAGTCGAATTTATTCACTCTTAGCAATTGCCGATGGTTTTACTCGATATATGTATCACATTACAAAATTACATTCAAGTTAAGTAATTTTCGAAAGATTTAAATTTAGAAAAACGATTCGATTACATATACTTATTAGTTTTATTTACTCTCACATAAAATCTATCGATGACAATCGATGTCAAAGAATTCGAATTTCGCTATTGTTATTCCTTACTGGCGCTCCTTCTCCAAAGCCGTCTTGTTTTAAAATTCTAGATACGTGCCAAAATACTCGAGCCTGGCGCGCGCTCGGTGAAATTGCAGAAACTGTCGTCGACCACGCGCTACAAGATCTGCGTGTTCGGCATCGGTAACTGGCTGTCGTCGTCGCAAATGGACGACGTGAACGGACCGATGGAGCAGCTCAACTTCACGCAGGTCGAGATACTCGCGTCCACGCCGCACTCGCAGATGACGGACTCGACGACCAGCCGTTGCACCGAGGTGAAGACGCTGGACGCGCCGGACGCGATCGTCAGCAGCGACGGCTCGGCCATGGGCGACGTCGGCAGCGTGAGCAACTTTCTCACGAGACGGCTGGGCCTGATAGTCGGCTGCTGCATGGGCTTCGTCGTGTTCCTGCTGCTGGTGTCCATTCTGGGTTATCTCAAGATCAAGAAGCAGCGCGAAGCGGCGAAGAGGGAGCAGCAGCCGATACCGCCGGAGTACATCTCGTACAGACACTTCAGCATACAGAGCGGCGAGGCCGGACACACCGCCGCCAAGCAGACGGCCGTGCAGGACGGCCAGCACACGAACTTCATCAACAACACCACGCTGAACGTATGAGAAAAGTCGCGGAACTCCCGACTCGTGGAGGTTTCGAACGTGTGATCGGGCTCGAAAATAAAAAAACAAAAAACCGATTTTTTTCTGGTCGATTGTTCGAGCGTGTTAGCCAAGTTCGAAAGACTCCCGAATCGCGGGAGTTTCGTGTTTACGCGTTAAAGAGAAACTCAAAACGGACCGTTCCGTCGAATTTTTGTCGCGACGACTGTCTTGCAAAATTGAAGGGCAGCCGCAATTAGCAGTGTTGTGCATTCTAGTGATATATATATATATATATCACTTATATATATATATATATACGCGGAGCAGTACTGTAATGAGACTCGGTGAGAGATCGTTCGAGAGAAGAACGTTCCGCAATTGTTCTCGAAAAGCACCCAGCAGAAGTGGTCGTGCCCCAAGACCGATCGCGAATCAAGTTAGCAGCAACGAAGACTCGAAGTGAGTTTCAAAGTGAGAGTGAGTATGTATGTGAGAAGTGTGTGCGGTTGTGTGTGTGCGAATGGGATCTTTATCAAGTAACAAAGCATTTTATAAAAGGATTTTCTACGAGTCTGAATGTGTTTGTTGTTGTATTTTTTCTTTTTGTTCAAAGTAGCTTTAATCTCACGACAAGGTGTCACGGCCGAGGAAACGAAAACGATCAAACGGACGATCGCGTAAGAGAAACTGTACAGAAATTGGTTTCGGTAGTACACACACGGAGCTCCGATGTGTGTGACAAATCACACACTGTGCACACTCTCGTATGCTCTAAAAAATCTTATAGGTTTTGAATAAGACGAGATTCACATGTATCGTAGTGTTCTCTTTCTCTAGACTTCCGTATCGAGAATACAAAACTACGATGAATTCAGCCGCGCGCTGATCGGAGTTTTGCTTTAAATTTCGATTTATTTATTGAAAAATCGGGATTTTCAAAGTGCCGGTAATACATATATAGAAGTGCGTCAAAATCGATAAAACGTTGAAAGAGCTGCGCGCAACGTAGAAAAATATATAAAATATATGTATCAAATAGATACATTGGTGGGAGCTCTATCGCGAATATATGAAAGACGAATGCTGTTTTATTCGCGAGAAATCGGTCGAATTTTTACAGCGACTGCAGCGAAGCAGCGCGGCGTGCAACGCGAGGTGGAGGAAAAGCTCTCCCTTCGCATCTTTGTAGAATAATGCTCTGTCTTCTTCAAGAAATATGAAATTTTGAAGAGTGTATGAAGCACGATTTGGAGAGTCACGCGCGCGCGCGTCTCTACCGTAGGATGTCGGGGGATATCGAATTTTCGTGTTTTCGTGTTATACGACGTGGCATTTGCCGAGCGATTTACGACTAAACACCGCTGCTATTACATATCATCCAGTCGTCGTTCTCGGATGAAATCGGACGAGATCGACGGACTGGCGTGTGAAGTGGCTATTGTGTTTTCTTAATGGCTCGGCAAACCGCGCGGTTTAGAACGTCACCCCGCGCCGATCTCGCAAAATGGGCATGCCCATTTTGCGGTAAACGCCCCGCGACGACGGGTGCCATCAATTTCCGATTGGGCCGCGCGGATCATCAAGAAGACGGGACGGAAAAAAAATTGCTCATCCCTGCGAGCGATCGATCGCGCGACTTCAGGATTCTCCAGCGGTGAGAGACAGCGAGGGGCGGGAATGTATAAAAATGAAATGTAAATTTATAGAGCAAGAAAATTTTCTTACTCTCCCGGATTAGCATTCCGGCGCGAAACAAATTTTATTATAATGAAATTACGTGTTTGAATTATATATAATCACAAATGAGAGGGAATTTTCTTGATACTTTTTTAATATTCGGAATTATCAATATTTAACTTCTGTGCAAAAAAATGTCAAGTATTTAAATATTTTACTATCTGCAAAAAATAATATCGCGTTAAAAACTAATACGAAATTACGTATAAAAGTTCTGTTTTAGAATAGAAAGAGGAGAGAATAGAAAAGCAGAGATAATAGAAAAGCAGAGATAATAGAAAAAAATTGAGAATACAAAAAGTGTTATATTTTTGTTACAGAAAACAGTGTTACATTTCTTTTTTCTTTTTTTTTTTTTACAGAAAAAAGAACAAGTGTTATATTTCGTTGCAAAAAATATGTGCGTGCATGTAGGTATGAATGCCAGCCGTTGGAGAATCCGCGGTTAAGACGATATTCCATATGAATGAAGATTTTTAGAATTTATAAATATAAAACTAAAGTGTGTGTGCGCGCGATCGTGTATATACGGATATGTATGCATCGCAAAAACTATGTATTTCTGTGGTTAATAAGAATGTCGAGATCATTATCGTAAAAATTCTGATGAACTCTTAAAAAAAAAAAAAAAAAAAAATAGCGAAACAAAACTAGTAGTGTATAAGTTGGAACATCGGCGTCGATGATTCTCACTTCTACCCCCTCCCCTCGATTTTTCAGGAGGCCAACACGATGAGGTATGTAGATCCATCAGAACTTTTATCGGTACGCGATGGGGCGATGTAACGCATTTTGCATTAGCAATGAATGACGCGCGCAGATGGAGCGTTCTCGCGACTCGATTCAGCCCCGGCAGATTGACTCGCTCGATATCGCGCAATAACCGGTATAATCGCCATGAGTATTAAAGGCGCGTTGCCGCAAACGTGACAAAATATCGCGTTTGCTGCACAGGAATTTTTCATGATGACGCGCTTGTTCGCGCGCGCGCGCGCACGTTTTACATTTGCGCTTCAACAATTCAGCGCGTTCTCGTTCGTCGGAGCCGTGATTATTATCGGCGCAATGCGATATCCAGCGTGCTCGTTATGAAAAATCGTTACGGAACAACGTCGCAGAAAACGTATATCCCGACGTGTTCGAACGATAGTTCGTTATCGCATTTACGCGGATATATTGTTCACGGCTGGAGTAAGAAGGAGAGAGAAAGAGAAAAAGAGAGAAAAAGTGAAACGCTTTTTCCCTTTCTCTCTTTTTCTCTCCTCTTCTCCCTCTCTCTCTCTCTCTCTCTGTCCCTACGCTTTTGAACAAAAGAAATGAAGAAAAAGCCGGTGGAAAAGAAGAGCGAGATCTCTCGAATCGGCGCGTCCATCAACGGGGGTCTATGTATGCGTTGTCGTTACACACTGTGTACTGTAAAATATATACGTATATATACGTCACTGTAATAAAAATGCAAATTCTTTTGTAATCAGGTGTTTTTTATATCCCGTACTTGCGCGCGCGCGCTAGCTGAAAGAATGTATTAATCCGTTCATCGCTGATGTCGCGCGAACGACGAGATTAAACCATAACCGGCCCGGATTTTCTTACAACCTATTGAGTGCTGCGCACAGAAGAAAGAGCAGAAGAAAGGAATTATAATTTTTGTCATCGCGCGGACACGTCTCGACTCTTGGGAGAGGTTTGCGCTTTTTTTAAACGCGCTCGGATCACGTTGCGTTATGACGGAAAGAGAAAGAGACATTTGTATTCGAAACGGGATATCGATTTGCAGATTATATTAATTTCAATCGATGGTATCTACTCGCTTGACGAGAGAATTCCATCGAATTCACGCGTTATTTCGCCAGTGAATCGTGGATAAATCGACAGCTTTACGGCGAAACGGAACGTACGAACTAATCTCTATCACTGCAGACCCGCCATCACAAAGAACGGAATAAAAGGCAACTTATTAATAGCGAGCTATGCGCAATTTTTTATGATTCCATATCGATCTTTTCCAAATCGATACGCGCCGTCAATATCAAACGAACGAATATCTCTCCCGGCGAGATATATAAAAATACTATAATAAAATATTGCAAGAATATACAATTTTAACAACACGAAATGCGCGAGAATAGATTTAATGGAGAATATATGATTTAAAGATCGGAAAGATATAGATCTAGCGTTGAAAAAATAAAAAATTACTTAGAAAAAATCAACGCGTCGAGTGCTGATTTCGTTTCGAATGCAAAGAAAAAAAACAACGGAAGCACGAAATGTTTGTCATTGCGCGTCAACGCTTGATGAGACTCGGTTCCGGAACATCGGAACGTCGTCGCGCTGGATTGGAAATGCCGCGGTATTTCCAAGAATAACGGAGGTCACGGAAAGCTGCGGGTCTCTCCCGAGGGGAGCGCAATCGGAATTCGTAAAGTATGCGGCGTGGTCTCGTTTATTTCGGCGTTCGTACCACCACCGACGGTCGGTTGGCTGCCTCTTTCATCCCCGTCCCTACGCCTTCGTATAAATTTTCCAGCGTCTCGACGAAACGCTTCCCGTCTGCTTTATCGTATTTCCTTGCAATTAACCCCTCTTGCGCCACCCCCCGTCCTCGCCGCCGCCGTCGAGGGCTGCGGATCGCGAAGTAGAAGCGTTCTGCATATTTCATTTGTTCCTGGCGCGCTACGGGAGGCTGAGCGCGTCCCGGTTTCGTTCTTCCGGAATTGCAAGGGCGGTGACCCGTGGCCAGGAAATTGAAACTCGCCGTTAAGAACACGCGTAACCTCGCTTCCCCTTCAGTCGGCCGACGGCAGGCCCGGCGGGGGCGATATAGCCGGGAATATAGCGAAGACCGAACACCGAGGCGGGTCCGATTGTGCGCGCCATTGTAAACGTCGCCGAAAAAAGAAGACGATTATTACTCCACGGCTGTAATTAATGCTGACTAATTAATTAACTCGAGCGGCAGACGCGCAAATTTGTAATCAACTTAACTGAGCGCGAAAGGGACGGGGGACAGAATGGGAGTAGGATGATTTACGGAGAAGGGGGGGGGTTAAAGGGTTCCCGACATTATTCGATTAATGAATAATCAACAGGCCGCGTGCGGTTTTCTAAAGCAGCTTTCGGCGAGCAGTTCGATCGGGCGATTGAGGCAATTGTGTGTCGCAAACTATTGTATATATACATATCGTGGACGATCGTCGCGCGATTTGTCCTTTCCGCGCCGTAAAATATCAAACTGATGATGATAAATTCTTTCCGTAACTTATATTTTTCGGTGTCTACGGCAGTTGTCTTCGGACTTCGTTATTTACCGGTGTCAGAGTGTACACCAAAAAAGGGACGTTAAAACTTGAACAGGGTACAGAAGTGCTTAAAAGGTTAAGGACCGTGAGTTATTGCACGCTGTCGTGCCATCTGCCTGCAAATCACCGACCGTAAAAAGAAACGACACCGACTGAAAAAAATACTCTCAGAGATTCCGGCTATCAATTTTTCCGCTCGGTGTTGGTTCTGTCTAATAAGAGATGTGTCTTGAGCAATTTTGCTGGTCGACAGCTGTCAAAAATCGCGACGAAATTTCGTTTCTCGGTTAAATTTCGCAACGAATTTTTATATTAGTCGAGTATTTTCTGCAGTTATGTGCGGACCTCGCTGAATGTTTTGAGACAGGAAGTCGGTAAGTTGTATCTAAAAATGTCACCTTTTCTCTCGTCGGACAACAAAAATATTACGAAATCCCGAGAGTTTAGTTTGATTTGTCATTCAAATTTCAAATAAAAGTCTAAATCTATACGAAAAAATAGACAAATATTCTTATATTCTTAACAGTTTTATTTAAATACGCGCGATACTGCGAGATTATCGCAAACTTATTAAATTTCAAATTTAACGCGCGCAACCTGTGCAGCGTGTTTGCTCGCGTGGTAATTAACTAAACTTTTTCTTTAATTACAGATTTTCCGCGCGTTCAATATTTATTCAATAGAGTAAGCAAAACTACATTATTTACTCTATATTGTTTATCGTTTTTTTATTATCTTCTATTTATTCGTTATACAAGTGCATTTTTCTGTAATGAACGTAATTCGTTTGTGTTTAGTTCGTCCTGTTTAACTGAATGAAGCAAAAAAAAAGTTAATTGTTTTGCATTTTTAAGAGCATGTTTTCTGTGCAGCGGGCTTCACGCGCGCAACGCTGCTGCATTTTGTGGAGTAATTACGAAAGTGTTCTGTTCGCCCGTTCTATCAAAGACACACGTCGCGCTATTAAACGGAAGCCTCGAGTGTATAGATAACTTTGTAAATTATTCTTAAACGTAAGACGAACTTAAAACAAACTTTCAACCGGGGAACTGAGAAAAATATTCTATATTTAACCGTGTCCTGAAAATTTGTTCTGTCTGCTACTTTTTTTGCCACATCTTTATTATACTGAAAGCAACTCAAGCATATAATTGCATCGATCGATGCACTCTATTTTACACACATGCGCGCGCGCACACATACACACACACACACACATGTATCTCCAGAAATCTGAAATTCCTTCGAAGTGCATTTTGCGCGAAGGAAAACGAGCGCGCATCGTTCAGCGATATTTAGACGATATTATTTTCTATCTGGTAAGCACTTATTCATTGCATTTAGTAAAGAGAAAAAGAAATATTATTCATATTGCGGATGTGAAAACGAGCGATTTGGTATAAAGACGAGAAGAGAGAGAGAGAGAGAGAGAGTAAGAGAAAGATACGATATTCACTTCACTTTTTATGATTTATTTCACGGACGCGCAATTCTGTAAGTATTTCAATTATAACTTGTTTTCACGAGCGGAAAAAACTTATAAATTAAAATATGCTTTATTTATTTAAAATAGCTTTCTGTATAGCGCGTTATATATATATACTATTTTATTACTTCCGTCATGTTTGCAATTCTTAACCGTTTTTTTGCCTATTCAACAAAATTAAAGTCTCAACTTTTCTCGAACAAAACTTTGATTCACTGAAGAGAAAACTTTGTTTTATTTGATTCTCCCTTTTACATTTCAGTATTAAATATTTTGATAACTGACGCTCCAATTAAAAGTTGGTTAAGGTAAACTCTATATCAAGTTCAGCAAAGAATAAGTTTCTGTTGCTCATCTGCATCGTTTGTAAGTTGAAATTATTAGTATCGATGATCTCTCGTCATTTATGGACAACTGGCCCACCAACTTTTTCGAAAATTATTTTGCAGTTAAAAAAGTCCTACTAGAAAAAGCGTGTGTAAATAATCACAATCGATTCTATCGATCTTGATTGTTGTCGCTTTTATCTCGACGCTGATTGAACGTTTCTCAGATGTGTTTCTCGATTCGTGTCGTACAAATCAAGATGCACGGTAGTGCCTCTTATACGCGAAATTCATGCGATTGAGGAGATCTTCACGGAGCAATATCTCAAGAACGATTGAACCGATCACTTTCGTTTCAGTCTCAATCGCTACGGAACAAAACACTAAAAACAAAAGTATTCTTGCGTTTTTTTTGTTTATGCTTCTAATTTGAAGATATGCGACGATAAAGTTTCGAAGTGAGAAATTCACTTTGCAGAAACGTTATTATTATCCCAATAAGAAAAAAGGGAGAAGGCAATGA